GGAGGTATATTTTTGAGATTTTTATCTACAGACCCACCGCGGAATAAATGACAGAGATGGAGTCAAAATGCGAAGAGGGTAACATGTCTAAAGATCTACCCTCCTTATTTCACTTAGTTCATAGCTTGATACACTTGAAGCTTGGTTAAAGGAGGAAAACGTTTGTTTGTCAGCCTTTGTGACGTATGAGGTCATCCATCATTATCCTCCCTTTTTGTAACCGTCGAGCTGTCAAACTTCGAGACTGCACTTACCCTTTAAAATTCGAAAAACAACAATATGTTTAATTCGGTCCAGGTGATACCTCTATTGACTTCTTGCCCCTTTCATACACAACACTTGCTAATTGAATTTAGAGGGTTAAAAATAGAGTCGACAACAATTCTGCAACTCTAGCCTGTTGTTGAATTAACTTCTATTCATTAAAACTTAAAATAATCCCCGATTTACTTTATTCTGAAGTAGCTTATTCTATTGTTATCTCTGTTACTACACAGTGGGTGAGGTTATCGCTATTTTCACTCGCTTTGTGTATTGTATACCAACCAAGGTGGTCATTTGTAAGCGATATCAGATGGTCTATTTCCTAAACATCCTTTCGAGAGTTTTTTTTTTTAAAACCTAACTTAAACAAAGAAAAATTAAGTTGAAAGGATGCACACCGTTTGCCTTTCAGCCGAAACTATTGGACCTTTAAATGGAAGATTGCCCCTCCGTTGCACCTGATGCTAAGCAGAGTTCATTTAGCCTTGGAGCTAAACGGGAACGTCGGAGGCCAACAGGATAGGATATCCTGTCATTAGATGCTGTCTTAAGACTCACGGGGACAATTACACGCTCGGTGATGAACGGATGTGCGTCACACATGACAACGTACGCCACCGTGTCACGTGACCCGAGTGAAGTGTTAAATAAGCATTTCCGTTTGTTGTTAAGGGAAGACACGCGATAGGAAGCGTGACAGCACGTGGCTTTCGTGTTTCAATTTCCGGTCATCCTCATCTTCAGTTATTATATTCATTTATACCGGAAACAATACTTTCTAATGATTTCGGATCCTTCCGACGGTACACTATGCCTCGGAAGTTATTAATACTGTTCTATTAATAACTTCCGAAACATTCGGTGTAAACCTAAATTTGCAAAAAATTTTACTTTTAACATTAGCACACGTAATATTATTTCAAAACGATTACATTAAAGAAAAGAATATAAAAAGCTTTTATTAACATAAAACTACCGTATACACAACGAATTTAATGCATAAAATATGCTTTTGTTCTAGTTAATTATATAATTTTTATGTAATTTAATTGTATCAATTCTTTTTTTTTTCCTAATTTACTGCTTTGTAGATGATTTCTTCCTTAAAAATAAAAATTTAACTGATTTTAAAAGTAGATCAAATTCCTGTTTTAAATATATTATTTATTGTATAAAAATATTGTAAAAAAAATGTAAAACTCTGTAAAGCAATTACCATTTTTTTTAAAAATTTGTTAATCGAACTTAAATGTTGTGTATTTCGATAATACAAAAAGTTGAAATTCGTGTAGCCCTACTTACAGCTCCACTTTCTTACATCACGAAGTTTCCGAACCGGTTCTTTCATTAGAGAAGATAAAGTAAAAGTTGTAATTGTCGTCTACTTAAACCTAAATTAAATAAATAAATTTGGCTATCAGAATTTTTGCCATCTTCGAACCTTAAATTCACAATTTTTTAATAATTAGTTTTAATATATTGTAGAAATTCTGCTTAATTAATTAACGTATAAACGTGTCTCCAAGCTGCAAATATCATCGTGTGCCTCATAAAATTTATATTTTAGAAAACTTCCGACTGACATATTCTCTTTAGACACGGTGGAGTAAAATCATTTCTTATTGTGTTTCCTTGTTTGAGAGGGTAGAGGTAAAAGAATGCGGTAGTACCACCCCTAGGGCCACACACTTTTTTGTTTAAGGCTTAAATAGTGCCTGTATTTTTTCATTCATTCAAACCTTTGATTAAAACGATTATTATTATTATAAAAAAAATCGTTTTTATGGCGACGAGAGGTATTTAGAGACTGTCCAACCATTAAGTGCAGAAATTCTATAAAAAAGAATGCATTTATATATAAAAACTACTAAGAATTTCAATTCTGTGTTCATTAAACATGTGTCGAGCTAACGAAACAGTTATAAAAACTCGATAGTATAATTTTTAATTGTTTTCGAATTGAATTAGTAAATACTTCGTGATTTATAAAGTTAAAAATAGCGATTTACTAGTAGGATCGATCGATCGATCGATCAATTGGCAGTAGCGTGGGTGTTCCTTCACGCTATTGTCAGCATTTTATGGAAGATTATCAACGACGACCCATCGCATCACTCTTTGTCTAATTACTGTAATAACGAGCTGTATCGAAATTGCAACGAATTGTCGAAGTTTTATATTAAAATAGAAGAAAATAAAATAAATGATGTTTTTTTTTTACCTGAAGGGCGATGTCGTTCTAGAACTATTTTTCATTGAGTCACGTTTGTTTCGACTCGTCATTCTAAAATGAAAAATGGAAAAAGTGAAAAATATGATTTTAGACATTCTTATCTTGAACACAAGAGAAAATAGATAAGAAGATAAGAAAAGTTGGAAATAGGTTTACGCATTGTTTAAGAGTTAATCTGTGTTAAAAGTATTTGAGGATTTTCTAAACACGTCAACACTCATTTTCTTATCAGTGCAATTAGCATTAATGAATAGACGATGACGAATTATTCTTATCTTAGAACGTTGCACATAATAAGAATTAAAGTGTATACGTTCGTAGATTTAAGAAGCTGTAAATTAGCAAACTTACACTACAGAAAACATCCCGGAGCTGTTTTTCAACCTGAAATGTCCAATATAGAGTTCATGGTGCATTTGATAAATTATTGCACCTGTTGAAGCATGACCAGGACCGTCATATAGGTACCTGCCCCGGGCACAGGTAGCCATGGGGTGTTAAGATGGGAAGAAGTAAAGAGAAAATACAGGTGGGTCCTTCAGGTTAAACTTTAAGCTACCTGCTTTTTCCATCCAATCCTCTATTCATAAGTGGGTTAAACTTTCTGTTCCACTCCTTTTGTCCTTTGAAACCGAGTGTCCCTCTGGGGAGGAGGCAGAATAAGGAGGCCACCTTCGTCTTGTAGCAGGTTCCTGTTTCCTTCTTACCATTGACGGGGACTTTTGTCTCCCGTACAACCTTTTTCCACCATGGTCGACATTTGTCAGAGGGTACGGGACAGGTGACTGTGTCGCCAGGTATGGGCTTTTGTGTAGAATTCTCACGACCCTGAGCTATTGTGGTGTAAATCACATGACCCGGACTGTGACCCAGGTATGCAAGGTCAGGGTTATGGCCTCAGGGATCTATAACCTCTGGAATGTCTGCGTCGGTGATATATCCAATTCACTCGCATATCGATTGGAAATGGAACGACCGAAAAATATCCGATAGTTTTTCGAGGCAGGTGGTAAATCTCCACTATGACACCTTATCCCTCGTCCTACTTCTCTGCCCTACGTTAAGATGGGTGGGTTATCGGTTGTGGACAAATCACCAAGATGGGTGGGTTCGGGGAAGTTGTCTGTGTGTGGTCTTTAGTAAAAAGATGTCTTTGCGGAAAAGTCAGGTAGTAACTTCCTGTCTGCAAACTAATAAGTACTCACCGGTTAGCTAATATGAAAAAAAAATCTACTTTGAAAACCTCATAAGTAATCTTTACCTACATGTCACAAGATTTTTAACAGAGAATTATATCAGGAAAAATAATTGCTTAAATTTTATATAAGAATAACATTTTTATCTATTCTGAAAAATTTTAATAAAAGATATTTATTTGTAATATCACAGAATTTCCGATAAACTCATAACTATGATTATATAAGCATCATCAAGATAAGACACGACCTCGACAAACGTCAATGTCGTTGCAATTGTTTTGTTTATTGAATACTTTGCCGTCGTCAGAAAAGTTGAGTAAACACTGGAAACGGATGTGAAAACGGAAATGAGAACCGAAACGACTCAATCCAGTTGAATTTCGCTTTTTGATAAAAGAGGTAGCACCATGTTGAGAAACTATACAGAAGGTCCGGAAGTTTCGTCCAGTTTAAAGGTGGGACAAGAATAGTCGACAGGAAAGGAAGTAAGGGACAAAGGAACAGGGATGACCGTGTGCACGAGCAACTACGAACTTCCTGTCTGGACTTTCTTGTTTTATTGTCACGCAACTCATCTCCATCACATCACTGGGATAAATGATCTTTCGATAGCATCATCTAGAATAGAACGATTAAAGGATGAATGATAAGGGTAGGTTTTTTGCAAATTCGATTCGCTTTCACTATATAAAGGGTTAGGAGTTTAGAATGAAAAGAAACAAAAACATGTTTTCGTTAATAAAATTATTATTTTTTTAAAGTCATCTTTTTTAGAGAGCGATAGAGAAACTCCACCTCACTCCGTCGTCATTCAATAGTCTTTATTGTTGGGAACTAGTTGGCCGAAAAAAGTGCAGACCTGGAAATGGGTCTGAGTTTAATTTCGACCATTGTCGCGCCTATATCAATTTTATAGTTTTCCTTTCAGATGTGGACAATACGCAAGAATGTTTCCGGTGATGGTGAGTTACGTATCCATATTCTGTTTGATCATTTATGACGTAAATAATTTGCAATCAGCATGGCAGAGGAGACACGCTTGTCATGCAACGAATCAGAATGAGAATTGGAACAGTAGAGTCAACTATAGGCCGATTCGATCCTGTTTACGACCCACTAAAACTGACTCTGAATGGACGTGTTTAAACAGAAACCGGAAACGCTCTCTTTCTGTGACAATGATTTTCTAGCCTACACTCTTTGGGAACGTTTATTCAACTTTTGAGAAAGTTTTTGATATGAACTCCTAACCTGTAATAAATTTCACATGCATTTTATTCACTCTGGCAGTTGATGGAACCTCACATAAAATATCTACAGATTTCTGACACAGTTCTGTAACGTTTGTATTCTAAAAAATATCATATGATATAAGCAGTTTTATATAGCCTAAATAATATTTTTATCATGTTTTAAATTGCTAACTTAGAAATTTCCTTCAAAATTTTGTTTTAGAAATTTGAAAGTCATTACTGATAACGTGTTTTTGCCAACACCTCCAACATCACCCGAGGACAATCATCAATAATAATCCCTAAATGGTACCCTTAGGGATGGCAATTTTCTATATTTGGCATGTAGAAAAGAGAATTTAACAATTTTCACGATAACATTGTTAAACGAAGCGGACAGTTTGATCCAACGCGTTTATGGAAATATACAGCAGGACAATTAGCGTTAAAAATAGCCTAACTTCAGGTTAATTCGTGATATCTAGCGGATAAATTTAAGCTTATATCATTTTTTTATTGTTGTTGATAAAGATGTTTCTTTGTTAAGTAGCGAAAGAGTGTTTTCATTAAACACGACAAGAAGTAAAGAGAGCACGACTGAAGAGCGTGAGCGGCATCCAAATAACTTATTAGCATCGCATCATCCCTCTGATTAAATCGAGTACATAAAACCGAGAATTCTTGAATCGGCGATGTTCGTTGCATCATTAGTGACGAATTTGTTAGACTTTTACTATGTGATAACGAGATCCGGCCCTCTGTATACATTGCTTAAAATTCTTGGAGAATCTGAGGAAAAAAAGGCAAAATTTTAAAGATTTCTTGGTGGATCTCTTATAATAAATTACGAAATAAAACGTTCTTTTTTGGATACCTAAAAGAGCATTGTTAATTCGTCGTCGGCATGGCGAGTGATAAATTATGTCAGCAGTCCAGGTGTTGGGCATACGAACTTTTCTTTATCGTTTTAAACGAGTCGAACCATCCCCAGCTGAGCAGTAGAGCTAAAAAGCGGCAGAGCCACGATCTAATTCGGTTGTGGCGTTCAATTCTCCTCCCACCGGCTTTGCTTTAAAGCGTGACGATATCAGAAGGGGAGGTGATGTTGCAGCCTTCCTCCTACACCTGTTTCCGAGCTCAACATTATGTCAGTCGGTTGCGATCCGTGTTCTTATTGGCTAACGGCACAGAAACATAACAAGGCGAAGCGAGAAGCTGATTGGACGTCGAGTTAGCAGGCAGGTTGACTACACCTGCCTAGGACGGGACTAGAGTTGAAAACTGAAGCGTGGCGAGCGAGCGAGTCAGTCACTAGTCAAGCTAGCGAGTGTTGTGGATGTGTTGATAAGTGTGAAAAATGCCTCGCGCTTTTCTTATCAAGAAGCATTCGTCTACTCGTATTCCACCTAAAGTTGGTGCTGAGAATAATGTGGATGGTGTTCAGGATTCGCATTCTGGTAAGTTTTTATTATCGTCATTTTAATAATACCATTAGAAAAAAAATAGTGTCGAATTTTGTAAGCACAATAACAAATTTTTAGTTAGTTCTATTTTCGCATTTGCTCCAAATTTTAAGTAGAGTCAAGGTTAAATGAATTCATTTTTCCTTGTTTAAATATTGATTCAAATTTTTTAATTTTAATTCTAAATTGTTAAATTTAAGAAATAATAATAATAAGTTTTTAAATTTTGTTTTAAAAAATTAATAATAAATCATTCCAAAAGATCTTTTCGTAATTGTATAAAATATAACTAAAAATTTTAAAATTTAATACAAGTCAATTATGTTTATTTTGCAAAATTTACATAAAATACCATCAGTTTTGATAAATCTCTATATAAAAAACATATTATATTATTTATTTTCTTAAATACACATTTAATATTCTTTAAAATAAACTACATACAGAAGAGTATTATTCGCATCTTATCAAACACTAAATAATTCATAGTTAGGTTAATGAAAAACATTTATAAAATTAATTTTATTTTTTCAAAATGAGCTGTTAGGTTTAGATTTGAAGAGGAAATGATTATTTAATCGTTCCAATCTGTTGTTAATCACTCACGATGACTGTTGCCGCTTTATAATCTCGATAAGTACAAGTGGGTGACAAACACACCGGAGACAACAGGTAAATCGTTGTTATACGATAAACTGTCCCTCACACCTGCCCGCACAGACAGCACGCCTTTGCTACAGATTAGATAGGAATGTATATATAAATATTATCCTCTAAATCATATATAAATAGAAATACCGAAGTGTTTACTTTGATCGAATACAAAAATGTAGACATTAAAATTCCTTGTCCTTTTATGATAGCGAAGCAAGATAAGTCATTCTCGACTCTTGAACATCATTTTCACTTTGCTAAATAAACATATACCCGTACTGTTTTAAATGAATAAAACTGATTATAATATAATTTTAATAAAAAAATAAATAAATAACTGAAGTTTGCAAGGTACTGACTCATCTATTGTTTTATAGAAATACGAGGACCGTATGACCTAAGCGTCAAGGCCAAACGATTGGAAAGTGACTTGAACGTTTTGGGTATGAAGACGGACATCAGCCTACAGGCCAAGATGGAAGCACCGCCACCTGCTGTGGCTCTGGTACTCCCGAAACCTTCTCCACCCTCACCTGTCAAACCCGGGGCACCTCTCGAACCTCTAAATCCCAATACCCCAGCTGGAGCACGTACCAGCGCTTGGCATAGACCGGTCGTGCCACCTTATCTGCCGTTTAATTTCCCACTTTATTCATTTTCTCGCCAGGATATGTATGGAACTTATTTCGCTCCAACTAGTCTAGTTCCACCACCGTTGGTGCCCGTGTCTCCGGCCCGGGCTTCTCCTATGTCACCACGAGACGGTGGATCACCCACCTCGATCTACACGGGGAAACATTCTCCACCTATGCAGCCTAGCTTCGAATCGGGAACTCAGGACATTTATCATCATCCAGCATGGATAGCGGATCCGAAGGATCCAAATTTATCTCCTGCACCCAGCACAGACAGCGAATCTGGGAAAGAAGGTGGCATCAGAAAACGCAAAACCGAGGCACCGAGATTTCAGTGTGCGGACTGTAACAAAAGCTATTCTACCAACAGTGGACTATCTAAACATCGTCAGTTCCATTGTGTTACCCAGAACAAGAAATCCTTTAGTTGCAAATACTGCGAGAAAGTTTACGTGTCACTGGGAGCACTCAAAATGCATATTAGGACCCACACACTACCCTGTAAATGTAAATTGTGTGGAAAAGCCTTTTCCAGGCCCTGGTTACTTCAAGGACATATCAGGACTCATACGGGCGAGAAACCATTCTCTTGTCCTCATTGCAGTAGGGCATTTGCCGATCGCTCCAATCTTCGAGCGCATCTTCAGACACATTCTGATGTCAAAAAATACAGTTGTAAAGCGTGCAGTAAAACCTTTTCTCGCATGTCATTGTTGCTGAAGCATAGCGATGGTTGTGTTCAACAGCGGTAGAGCTTTGTGAATGACAAAAAAAAAAACATATCTGAAATTTCAAACTAGTCTCATCAAACGCGTGCCAAATTTATCACAAGTAGAATAAAATAGAAAGAAATTTTATATATATATCTATATATATATAGAATGATGACATAGCCCTGCAGGTTGGGGCATAAAATGAAACTATAATTTGGAAAATTATATTATTTGTCTGTTAAGTGGTGGACCAGAGATCATTCTGTACAGACTCGAGGTGTCTTTTAGACGCAGTGGGGTAACTTTGCACTGTACAAGTTTTTACAACTAAACGTGTTACAAAAGAAGGGAGCGGTCCCTTATTCAGAGCCGAATGTCACGACGACCTATGGGTCCGATGATTAAAATAAAAAAGTTTTCATCCTTTAAATTTTGATAATTTAAACTCGTTAAGATAATAATAGTTAAATTTAAAAAGAAAAAAAATATTCAAAAAGCGGTGCCTTTTTATTATCCTCGTAATTCTATAACCTTTACCAAAGTTATTGTGCCAATTTCCCGTTATCAGTATTAATTATAAAACAACAAAATATATAAGTTTAAGTTGAAAAAAAGTTTGTCATCCGCATTACACTACCTCTTCTAAATATACAAAAAGAAATAAAGAAAAAAGCGTCTTGTTCAATGTTGTTGTTTGCAAGTGACGCTGTGATTTAATGATAATGTTTACTCTTTTATCCGCTTTAGTACGTTTGTTAGCAGTTTTTGATTTTTAGAACCAGTTGTTAGTGACGTCACAGTGTTTGTAAAGTTACTTGTCTTCTCACCAGATGTCTGCTATTATCGTATGTAAAATGTTTATCACGTACAGCATGTAAATACAATCAAATCTCAATTCGATTGCACGTTGTGTTCTGTTTATTTGATCACAAAATTATTGAGATACGATAACAAAATATATATATATGTACATCATAATATTTGAAGAAAAAAAAAATTATATTTTGTCTTTAATTTATTAGAAAACGGCTCTCTGTATCATTAGATTTGTTAAGTAGCTTCTCCAAATAAAAAAAATGAACGATTTTTTTATTTTAACCCGGTTGTGTCTTTTTTTTTTTGCTTTTTTGTGTGTTTATAAATTACGGAAAATTAATTCGTTTGCCTCATTATCTCGACTATTTATACGGATTAACTAAATATTTTCTCTCTGCTCTGTTTACAAAGGTGTAACGATCCATCTTAATACATGATGTGCCAACTTTTCATTCTCTTTCCAGCTTTTCTATTCAACCATTGAGCTGAAGACATTTAGGACAGTTGCCAAAAACTTTCTGGCCTATTTTAGTTCAGTTCTATTCGGATTGTGCACCTGTCTCTGGTGGTAACAGACATTTATTTACAACTTCGACTAACATTAGGTGACATTCCCTTCCGACAGACTTCCTGCATGCGTTCTACGATTTTAATCCTTATTTACGAGTGAAGAAAACATTCTGTTCCACCCATTTTCCCATTTGTTATCATTTATAAATACATTTTTTTAAAAATTCTCCGTTAATTACTTTACATTTATTAAGTCTTCGTTAATTTCCAGGGGGTTTTGTTCTCTTCACTCGGTCTGTTAGTCTGTTACGCTGGTTGCGGGTGAGTTCTTCCTCGAAATGGAACTGGAAGAGGAAAAACGGAAGATAATGACAAATCGAAACAGGATTTCTCGGCTTGAGGCTCTTTACAGAAACGTGCATCAGATAAATATGTACCAACGTGATATAAGCAGTGACTTCTGTACCCTCGGGCCTCTAACGATGAATAAGCTATAGTTTTATTTCTTAATCTTTGCTAATATTAAGAATTTTTTTATCTATTTAACGATGCTTAAATAGACTAATTGGCTAATTGGACGAACAAAAATGCAAATAGTCGCGCTGTATAATCAAGTTATTCTTAAGTGGATCGAGGGATTTATTTTGCGCTAGTCAGTCTTGCACCGAAAATATGCTTGGAAATTCAACAAGTGACGATAGAAATGAGAGAAGGAGCCAAGTATGCGTTCTCACGTCACTACATCGTTGGCTCGATATGTGACACAAGAATTCAAGAAAGAAAAGAAGAAGGTTTGGACCTTCAGCCTTTATCTTGGTGATTTGGCAGACTCGATGGCGTCTCTGTTTGGTAGCCTAGTACTTAATGTAAATTATGTTCAAGTCTATTTTAGAGCCGACTTAACAATAAAACGAAGTGGAATATAAAGCGCGAATGCAACTGTATAAAGTGAAGAGAATGCGCCTCTTTAAGTGACTACAATACCATTTGTTACCGACTTTTTATTCTTAGCAGAGGTCTAAAATGAATGAGGGAAATTTTGAATGTTTCCTTTTCTTTATTTTAAAATATAAGTAAACAAAAAAATTCTTTAGACTTAAAATTGAATCGTCATATTAAAGAATTCATCGTGATCTTACTGACTCATCAATTAAAAACAAGGTGACGCAGCTTATTTTAATATGACAATAAACACTAACTCTATCTAATTAAAGTTGTTTATAGAAAGTTAAACTAACACCAGTAAACAACTTTATGGTCTTTCGCGTTTCTAAACCTTTAGTCACAATCAATAGCATTATCACCGTGCTGTTAAAAATCCACAATAGTTGTTATTGTTAGAGACTTGTAAAAGTGTCATTGTCATAACGGGGCTCGCTAATTGTCCATGTGTTTAACCACTTGGTGGAAAGTAGAATTTGTAAATCGATGGGGAGGGAAGAAGCGCGAATGACTGACAATTTGACATGTTTAGAAATGACAAATGACGTTGTTATAATCAAAACTTCTTCGAGTGTTTCATTAATTGCTTGTTGGAATCTCCGCAATGGAATTAAATCTTCGAAAAGAAGAAAAAAGAATATAATGAGAGCTATTCAACCGACACAAGGTTGATGATTTAATAAATAAACCATTCTAAAACAGTTTACATTCTACTCCATCGTTAGCATAACGTTGACAAATTTGTTAGCATTGCACAGTTCTTTCGTTTTGTTTAGAGATGAAATGCACGTAGAAATATTAATATATTCTTTCTTTTTTCCCCTTCTAAGTTCCTCGGATTTAAAAAAAAAAAAGTTATGTTTAATAGGTTATATGCCACATTAAAAAAAAGCTAGTGCTTTAGAATGAATTACGAGTAATGTTCGAGGGAGGAAGAGACTTTGTGGTCATTTTTCTCTAACAATTACGCTAAATCGAATGTTTAAAAGGGTGGAAATTCATATAAACTCCCCACCTGTACGATCAGTTATAAAGAATACACTGCCGCTCCCATTGTACTGATATAGCTCTTCCTTAGTGTCTTAACATGTGTTGACCAAGGGTAGGTAGAATTTACCACCTACCGAAAACTCTCGCATTTTAACCCTAGTTATTCAGAGGTCAATGTTAGTTGCACAGACAGACAGACCTGCTTGTAAGGAGTGTTTCACCTGCCTTGAACTAAACTCCCCCTCCTATGGCGAAGGCGCCGTAGGTGACGAGGGGTTGGGTCCAGCAGATGCATCATGTCCATCTTCGAGCATGACTCTTAAGCAATTGGTAACATTGACTTTTGTTTAAGAATAAGTTCAAAGTTCCGAAAGTTGGATTGTTATGTAATTTAAAAGGGATATAAAACTTCATTTATTCTATTTTATTCGACAGAAGTATTCGTGTTCTATCGATTCTGATGCAAGGTAGACTTTTTAGCAAAGCATTGGAATAGACTTTTTGTCAAAAACGTTTCCTTTGATATTCTCGAGGGAGCAAAGAATCTCGAATTGCGAAAGAGAATCGGAACATTTACAGTTTTAGGTTACGTTTCCGGTACTGTGTGTGTTTATTGCAAATAACGACCGTCAGCTGGACGAAACGACATTTGTCCCACCTCGTCACGTGATCTGTCATCGGTGTAGTCATCTGAAAAGAAAAGCAAATGCTTCTCCCCCCAAATACATTACTGCCATTAGTTTATAAGCGGATGTTGACTGTTAATGGATAACGGGAGGATTACACTAGAGATTAAGACATCATATTAGTTCTTCCCGATATTATTCGCGTTGTGCAACGATTATAAATTTATTATTAATTAGTTCGGAACGGTAAAAAGAAAAGGCAAATGTGATTTTGTGTGGTCTTGTTTTATGATGCCGTCCAAGGGCGACTCCCGCTATCTAGAGACTAGCGCGAGCTGATTTGTAGCATCCACCCCGGGTGTCCCTGCACGAAATGTCACCTGTCATTGACCACCAACTTCTCAGTAGCTACAGATATTTGGGTGGAAACAAAATAAAATGTTTTGTTTGCATTGCATATCTAGATTTTACCGATATCTTCGATTTGGCAGCTCAGCAGCAGGGGATGATTATAAATTCTGAAGAGTCTCGCCTGAGAACATGAAATAACTACCCGCTTTATATTCGAAATTATTTTCAAATCTTAAATGTGCTTAATATACATAATTCTATGTAAATTCTATGATAAAAATCGATTCTTTATTAAAAAGAATTTATAGAAAGCAAGTTAAATGGTATTAGAGACCACTTGCTGTTGAACTACGATACAGACAGAGATAAGAAATTGGGTGAAGCTGCAAAGATGAGTATCGCTATTTTCACACGGGAATGCGATAGTTTTCTCTTTTCTACACATTTCCATTCTTATGTAAGTACAGTGTCACACAGTACAATTCCGCAGAATAATATGAAGACTCTTCCTTCATAACATCTATGGGATGGGTCTTGGTTACAGAGAGATCTTTATCGAAAAATCATTTGGTAGCATGGAAAGTGGAAAATGGATGCTACTATTACCGGAAGCATTTATTTAATAGAGCATCGACAACAGGAAGTCGAGCATGACAGCCATGCTTCATCGGAAGGACATTGATGGAAGAGCGCCATATCCTATCGTAAATGGAGCCATTTAGCTATTCCTTTCGCTTGAAACAAAATAATACTTAAGGCCGATCCATAGTCAATTTGGCTAATACTCAATAATCTTAATTTGGCACTGGTCTGTTGTGGCGAAAATAGCATCCAGAATAAAAAAGTATTCATGACTGTGCAAGATTTAAAACTGTATTTGTGAAATTTATTGTCTTCGATAAGCTAATTTCTTCTATTTTCGACAAAGGAGGACCCTTAATTAAAAAATGGTATTGTCGTGATCCGTTGCAGATTGGCAAAGAAGTTTTCTCAAGAGATAATTTTGCCTATTTAAACCATGATTCAGCTATGGGAATAAAAGCAGGGAATTAAATTATTTATAAGAGGAGATTGTGGTGAATCTGAACCTACCATGTTATTAGTTTTTTGTTATACAGATGTAGAACGCTACCATCCGGAGTTAGGTCACTCTGCGCTTAGGGCTCCCTGCTTATAATTTATTCTTTATAAAAAAATCACGAACACTTTTCACAGAAGCTTCCCGGCTATCTCTAAAATTGGATATCAATAAAGCCCAGCATATCTGTCACTTACGAAACTCGTTATGCTTTCAATAACGGTTACCACCGCCGTCGATCACGAGCAGGTGTACATCATAAAAAAAGAGAAGCAATCGTTTGATTGACATCTTGTTACCCCAGTTGATTTTTATCCGCTAAAAAACCGCCAGGAAGGGTGCGGCTCTCCAAGCTGTGGCGGAACACCTGTACTTTTAAATGTATGTAGCCTACTGGGCTAGTCTAGACGTGACAATACTAGTACAGCCACGAACACGGCGGGTGATCGGTTCTTCCTGCACCCTCATTTACCAGTTCACGGGAGATCCACGATGTCCTATAATTGCTCAGCCCGGTGGTTCTACGTAACCTCTAACCTTCTAAACTAAGTTGCAGCTGTCCCACCAATAGTTAATTGAAAGACGGATGAACCAAAATTTGACACGTGCCTTTTTTTCCGGTTGGAACCATTTCTGCTCTACTCCCCAATATCGATCCATAGCGTGGTAATGGAAGACGTATAATTTGACCCACATTAGGTCCGATCCGCAGTCTATAATTAAATGATCTATTCGAAAATAAAACCGTTTAACGAACCCAACATTCGGTACAGATTTCAGATGGG